ACATACTGGGGCATTCAATCCCGAAGTATTTTAACAATCCCGGGATTTCGCGATGCAAAAATTCTAATTCCGGGATCACGGGATTTTTCGGGATTTCGATCTTTTCACAACTTTTGCATTTAATAGTAGGTTCGCCATTTTTAAACCACATACATTCATTGTCACCGTGTTTGGTCTTACAGGGAGCATAATGCACCTTAGTAAAAGAGTCCGTAATTTAATGTCTAAATATTTTTATAGTATTCTTCAATATCTATACTAATTGTAAAAACCTCCTTTACTAATATCTTCAGAAATTCACAAAACGCCAACAAAATAAAATGAGGAACAAAACTTCCACACTATAAAATCTTATTGTGTTTGCTATTGCTACCAGATTTTTCGTTATTACACAGTTCTTGCACAAAATTTTTGAACAAGTATTGTTATTCAGGCAGGTTCTGAAATTCACGTCCGAGTTCAAATGGCTCAAGTTCACTTTGAATCAAAATTTTGGTCTTCTTTCAACATCTCTTTTATTCCGTAAATGACTTAGTATAAATCTCGGGATCCCGGAGCTGTAGGCCCGGGAATTCGGGACATGGAGAAGTGTCCGGGATCCCGGAATCCCAGGATTGAATGCCCTAATACATACATATGCATGACCCGAGAGGCCATCCAAGGATAGCTTCTATTAGCGCTTGGAGCGAACATATGAGCACTCCCCCGCCACTTCAGTGCTTAGGTGGGCAGGGAAGGGATCTTTGAAATCACCGTCGAAATATTCAGCCTCCACGATAAAACATCCAGTAACGGACTGAAGCTGATCGACTTCTCCGGGGGCCAAGCATGATAGTATGCAGTACTAGGCTCAAGCATAAAAAGATGAATCAAGATACGTGGCTGTCTCCAGATCGAAAAACGAAAAACCAAATCGATTCGATCANGTCACCGTCGAAATATTCAGCCTCCACGATGAAACATCCAGTAACGGACTGAAGCTGATCGACTTCTCCGGGGGCCAAGCATGATAGTATGCAGTACTAGGCTCAATCATAAAAAGATGAATCAAGCTACGTGGCTGTCTCCAGATCGAAAAACGAAAAACCAAATCGATTCGATCATGTGGTGATAGACGGAAAGCATGCTTTCAGTGTTTTGGACGTACATACACTCCGAGGCCCAAACATCGACTCGTGCCAAATCATGCACCCACATCTGTGCAGCAAAAAATGTGGAAGCACATTTACCCCGCATTAAGTACCGCCGCTGAAGTGGTAATCGGATTTCAGCGAGCTCGAAAGAGCAACAGGCACGATGAGGAGCGTCAAGANGACCACTATGTTGTTCCAGCCAAATCATGCACCCACATCTGTGCAGCAAAAAATGTGGAAGCACATTTACCCCGCATTAAGTACCGCCGCTGAAGTGGTAATAGGATTTCAGCGAGCTCGAAAGAGCAACAGGCACGATGAGGAGCGTCAAGANATGTGGTGATAGACGGAAAGCATGCTTTCAGTGTTTTGGACGTACATACACTCCGAGGCCCAAACATCGACTCGGACCACTATGTTGTTCCAGCCAAATCATGCACCCACATCTGTGCAACAAAAAATGTGGAAGCACATTTCCCGCGCATTAAGTACCGCCGCTGAAGTGGTAATAGGATTTCAGCGAGCTCGAAAGAGCAACAGGCACGATGAGGAGCGTCAAGAAGCTGCAGATAAAAAAGATGCCGCATATAGGGCAACGCTGCGATCGGGCGCAACGCGAGCTATGTGGGATAAGTTATATTGGCGTAGGAAAACATAAAAATAAAAAAAAATAAAAAAAGTTAAATTATTGGATGGTTTTGAAAAATATGTACGAAAGACACAAAGCAGTGTCATTATAGCCTAAATCACAAAACCTTAAGGTCACGTCTTANCTATGTGGGATAAGTTATATTGGCGTAGGAAAACATAAAAATAAAAAAAATAAAAAAAGTTAAATTATTTGATGGTTTTGAAAAATATGTACGAAAGACACAAAGCAGTGTCATTATAGCCTAAATCACAAAACCTTAAGGTCACGTCTTACTCGTTTGTACTTTTTGTTGATTTCGATATTATACATACATACCTACTGCTGGAAACACACAATAGAAATATTCACATATTCTCATACATATCACTTTATTGCTGCAAGAGTGTCTTAATCCTTAAAAGTCAAAAACTCGAGAAAAAGGGCTTTATAGTTTACCGTTTGCGAACGCTCCCATAGTAAGACAATTTTTCTTCTAATGAGCTGTTTTTAATCGATACAGCTGTGTAATTTTTACACAACATAGAAGAAGAGGGGGCGATACTTTCTGCATCCTACCTAATTAAAAAAATTATGTATGGATTATGACACTCTTGCAGCAAATAAGCGATATTAATTCGTTAGTTCCTCGATTTTATCCAAAACAAGTATTGTATTTGTATGTATTTACATATATGTTGTTTCTTATAAAAAATTTCTTACATATTAAAAAATAAAATGCTTGTTTGAAAAATAAAAATGGTTCGTCGCTCGATGTGATTCGCACCGCGGAACCCATGTTCACTAATGGTGATTTCTTTTCTAACAAAAATGTCGCCTTTTGATTGCCCCTTGAGAAAATTTTGTGTGTGTTTCTTAAAATCTCACACTCTTGTAGGGCAAAAAATAAATAAAAATATTCTCTGCCCTGAGAAGCTTTGTCAGGGGAGATGGTTGCCCTGAAATCAGATGGTTGTTTAAATCGACATTATTATGAAATGCGTGAGCTGGACAAGCACAAGAAGGTAGAAACATACCCTTTTTCAGGGTTGAAACACATTTCGCATCGGGAAAGGGCAACATTTTTTGGAAGCAACGAAATCTCCATAAGCAAATGCTCTTCTACTATGCTAACATATGGTATAAAGCTTCGTTGCCAAAGCACACATACATTTTTGTTTTAAATTTTATAATTTTTTTTTTGTTTGTCATCGCTCACAGTCAGTGCCACCAAATAAAAACAAAAAATATTCAAAAGTAGAGCCAAATGAATGGAAAGACTTTCTACTCGATCCGAAAGTATTTGATAGTAGGAATTCATATTCGTACAATTTTCAAGTAGTTTAAACTTTTGAATCAACAACGCGTGCAGGAAACAAAACTTTGGTCATACTATACCGTACTTGCGGAGGTGGAACCGAACCGCAAAAATTCGCCTGCCGCCTCATCTTCATCAAGAAAGGAAATGAAATAAGGTTGTCATGTATTCCAACCGCTTTCAGAAGTTTGCGCCAGCAACTACCACTTAGCAATTCCAAAGGTTGTTTTCTGTCTTATTTGCTTAACCTGCTGTCTGCCGGCTAGATCCAATAGAGCCGAATAACCTTTTTTGTGTTCACATATCAATATCTGATGTTTAGTCTATACTTCTCTGATCATGCTTATTTTTTTTTTAATAATTAGTATTGCTATTGTAAATCCAGCGCGATCTACCAGCCCGGGTACGTTGGACCCACATAATTACTTACATAGGGGTCCAATGGCCTGAACGGTAGGTAATGATATTTTTTCCGCGGTAGCCAAAGAGTTAATGCAGCAGCCAGTGGAAGCCTCCCAGTCATTGCTGAGTGCTATATTAGTATATTGCTTGCGGGCTAAGAAATTCCTGATCTGAGTCCTTTTTAACCAAATGAGCAGGAATTCTCGTGTGACCTGCCACTTTTGAGTATGTAGAGTGAAACAAGTTCCTTATATGTATCTACTTACCAACAAAATTTAGCTGACAGTTACACTGCTCAGTTTGGAAGTACCTAGTTTGAAGGCTGGCGAATGGCTTCGACCCATTTTCCATCATGTTGTCCCTGTCAGCTTTTTCCAAATGTAAGTTTTAGAACCATCCGTAAAAATTCAATAATATGTAATTAAGCAAACAAAGTCCAGAAAAATCCATGTTGTAGAATCTTCTCAACAAATGGGCAGCGTACTGTCCTTGGGCGTTGAGAAACACATCTACATCTGTGCCTTCAAAATATTCTTCCCCAGTCTACTCTGTGTCATAAATTGGCCTTACGCTAGGTTTGAAGATTTATAAAAATATCAAGAGCTTTCTCCTTGGCTTCATTTTGCATTGCCAATTGGCGTCAGTTGGCACAAAAGAAGAGAAAAGAGACTGGCGTGCTGGTCTCGGTCAAAATTACTTAGGCGCCCTGCAGAAAAAAATATCGATTGATTAAAATAACCAATTCTAGCTTTTTTTGTGTGATTTCGATAAATAAGTAAATTTCATTTAGCTATGGCAAAACTAAATTTAAGGTAGTTGTGAAGGCGTGCAGGAGTCATGCAGACGTTGTCGGAATTTGTTTTCTTTACAAGTTTCTATCTAAATATCCTCATACAAAAATTACTTTCAATAAATTTTTTTCTGCACTTCGTAAATTTTTTTTTCGAATTCAGGACAAATAAAATGAAGAACGAAATTTTATATTATCATTTTGATGTTATGTCTGATCGAATGCAAATATGAGACCACAAATAAACACAAACGTAATGTTAAATAAACTAAGTAAATAAAGAAAAATATAAAAACTTAAAAAAAATCTTTAGAGTAAATGTAATCAAAAAGAACAACCGAATCATGGATCACGCGACTCCGAATGGCGGCTTTATTTTTATGAGACTCTATTTTTTATGACAGAATACAGTCGGCCATTGCTTGCCAATGCGCAAGCGCTTTTAGAAAAAACTTTTTCTTTTCTTTTGTTTTTGATGTTAGTCGGAAATTGGGATCGATCCCTGTGGAACTACTACACAACAGCGGTGGATAACCCTTCATAACAAAAACATCATAGGATCAAAAAATAGTGTCGGAATTTATTCGAAAACAGTATTCAGTTTCGTTTTATGTATACATGAGCTCGTCAAGATATGTAACACAGTTCGAGTGGATAGCATTAATTTAAGACTATTCGAGAGTAATTAAAATATGGCGATTAATGTTTTTGACTAGACGTTTCTTATTTTTAACAACCAATCTTTTCCCAGATGCCACCACTTTTATATCCATTATTCCAACCATTGTTCCAACCACCCGAAGAACTGCTGCTGCTTCCCCAAGCGCCGACATTTGAAGGTGGCGGTGGTGGGCCATAAGATTGTGCGGGGACGCCATTGAAACCGCCTTGGCTGCCGTCATCCTCGTCGACGATTAACTTAATGGTTTTCACCACTTGCGTATTTTGTCCAGTAGCAGGTCCAGGTGATGAAATAATTTGGGGAATGAGCTGTGGAACGGGTTGTGGCGCAGGCGCTGAATAATATGTGGTTTGAACGGGAGCTTGCGGTGCCTGCACCACCGTACGCACCGGCGCAACCGCCTGTGTAGTCACATAAGAAGTGGACGCTTGCACGGCTGGAGGCTGTAGATTAACTGAAATTTGAGACGCAGGTTCGGGTGCAGGCAAATTGATTGAGGGAGGCGATTGCACCTGAACGGCGACGGGCGCTGCGGCGGACTCTCTATACTGGTAAGATTGTTGACTCGCATATTGAATAGGTTGTGGTGCAGGCGCTGAAACATAGGCGGTTTGTATGGGCACTTGTACGGGTGGAGGAGCTGGAGCGGATTGAATTATTGTGCGCACTGGCGCCACCGCCACTTGTGCTGGTGTGGAAACAGCTACCGGCGCCGGTATTGGTGTCCAACCACCGTTGGCGTAGCCACTAGAGTAGCCGCTGGCATAATTGGATGATACGCCTTCATTCTGACTGGGTAAAATTACTTTGATGATCTTTACTATCTGCTCGCCACCGCCGCTGCTACCGTAACTGCCTCGACTGTAGCCGCCGCCGCTATATCCTCCATTGTTATAGCCGCCATCATAGCCGCCACTCCCCCCAGCGCCGTAATTGTAGCCGCCGCTGTAGGCCTGACGTCCGTAGCCATAGCCATTGCCGTTGCCGTAGCCACCGCTGTAAATAGCGCGATTTTGTTGACCATAAAAGCCGCCATTGTAGTTGCCGCTGCCATAACCACCTCCGCCACTAAGACCGCCGCCGCCGCCGCCCCCTCCACCACCACCGCCTAAATTTCCAGCTAATCCCAAAAGTGCCAACTTGGCACCCAAGAAAGCGTGTGTGGCGGGCGTAAGCGTGGCCAGGACGCACACAGCAAGAACCAAACAAAATTTCATTATTTTCAACTCGATCACTTATTAAATGTTTTTTAAATTGATCCACGTGTACCAAAAACCCGATGAGCTAATTCGCAACTACCCGTGAACCAAACTCGATGTGAACTGTTAAAGTCTCTTTGAGTGGCATACAAATTTATAGGCCAAAAATGGCAGGTGCTAAATGGAATTAGTCGGGCTACTTTGGATTTGTCCCACATACACGCGCAATAGTATAACATACATACATCCGTACACACAAAGTACCGCACAATCTGCGTATGCCCGTGACTGTAATGGATAATGTATATATCTATGTATGTAACTAAGNGATTTGTCCCACATACACGCGCAATAGTATAACATACATACATCCGTACACACAAAAGACCGCACAATCTGCGTATGCCCGTGACTGTAATGGATAATGTATATATCTATGTATGTAACTAAGCAATTCTTAAGTACCGAAATCGTCGCACCGCCACACCCCTGTGGGACCTTTTTCTCGCACAGCATACTAAGCCACAAAACTTAGCTAGGTAGCCAGTGGTTAGCACATTTCCCTAACGCGATAAGTGTGTATACATACTTAGAAATACCAAAAAAGCCAATTTGTTAACTTGCATAGTATTTGTATGCTCGGTAATGGGATATCTGTGATCGTTGATCTATGCTCTAAAATGTTGTTTGCTTAATCAATAAATATCGTTTTATGCAGAAGCTGCTATTTAAGTTCATATACATATGCATACTTATACGTACTTATTTATGTATGGTCAGGGTACAGTGGCGGCCACATAAGTAAATACTACTAGCGACGTTTAGTTGACGTAGCTCACAGATGATTGGATATATTTATCCCTACGGCACATGGCTTTTTATAGGCGTAGAACTTTATATTGAAATAAAAGAACGCGAGTACATAATTCCAAATTAAAGATTGACTTTATTAGGAAGCTAATTGGGTACTGTTAGTGTTTGCATATGAATACATAGTAGTGCAATTAAACTGGAAAATCAACATCGAATATCGTAGACAGAAGGGCTACTACATAGCATACTAGGACTAAAACCGAAACTTGTGATGTGGATGTACTTCGGCATCATAGGACACATTTAAACTATGGCGCCCTGCTATGGTGGCCGGACATAAACAAACAGGAGATACAAAGTGGTCGATAAAGAGGCAATTAGACGGTTCAATGATAGATCGGGTACAGGTATGTNTTTTTTCTCGCACAGCATACTAAGCCACAAAACTTAGCTAGGTAGCCAGTGGTTAGCACATTTCCCTAAACCAAAGCCTATTTGCTAACTTGCATAGTATTTGTATGCTCGGTAATGGGATATCTGTGATCGTTGATCTATGCTCTAAAATGTTGTTTGTTTAATCAATAAATATCGTTTTATGCAGAAGCTGCTATTTAAGTTCATATACATATGCATACTTATACGTACTTATTTATGTATGGTCTGTGTACAGTGGCGGCCACATAAGCAAAAACTACCAGCGACGTTTAGTTGACGTAGCTCAAAGATGATTGGATATATTTATCCCTACGGCACATGGCTTTTTATAGGCGTAGAACTTTATATTGAAATAAAGGAACGAGAGTACATAATTCCAAATTAAAAATTGACTTTATTAGGAAGATAATTGGGTACTATTAGTGTTTGCATATAAATACATAGTAGTGCAATTAAACTGCAAAATCAACATCGAATATCGTAGACAGAAGGGCTACATAGCATACTAGGACTAAAACCGAAACTTGTGATGTGGATGTACTTCGGCATCATAAGACACATTTAAACTATGGCGTCCTGCTATGGTGGCCGGACATAAACAAACAGGAGATACAAAGTGGCCGATAAAGAGGCAATTAGACGGTTCAATGATAGATCGGGTACAGGTATGTTCTCCGAAGAACTCTTATATCTCCTTGCTTTTCCGTCTAGGAAATGATACAAGCATCTTACAAGCGGTAGTCTTAGGGTACGTTCACACGGAAAGCGGAGCCGAGCCGAGCGAAGCCGTTCCGAGCAGAGTGAAACTTTCAAATTGCTGTAGCTTTTTCAGAAGCGTTTTGGAGCTGAAAGCAACGAAGCTTTTGATTTCGAATTGCTATTTAATTTTTCGGCTTCATGACGCTGCTGCAAACAAGATATCAAAATATTCAAGTAAAAACGAATTTTTCAACTAATATTTTGAATAAAATTGAGCAAATATTTCTACCGCTTTTCATTGGCAGTAAGTCGTTCAGNATGTACATATATGAAAGTCTTCATACAGCAAGCTTTTTCAGAAGCGTTTTGGAGCTGAAAGCAACGAAGCTTTTGATTTCGAATTTCTATTTAATTTTTCGGCTTCATGACGCTGCTGCAAACAAGATATCAAAATNTTTTCAGAAGCGTTTTGGAGCTGAAAGCAACGAAGCTTTTGATTTCGAATTGCTATTTAATTTTTCGGCTTCATGACGCTGCTGCAAACAAGATATCAAAATATTCAAGTAAAAACGAATTTTTCAACTAATATTTTGAATAAAATTGAGCAAATATTTCTACCGCTTTTCATTGGCAGTAAGTCGTTCAGTGTGAACACCTGCAGGTTCGCTTCGCCTTTCTTCGCTCAGCACCGCTTGGCTTTCTGTGTGAACGCATCCATAGGTTTCTTTGTAGCTTGTCAGGTTCGGGTCACCAAATTCCAGCTTGTACAGAGGTGCAAAGCGGTATTATGCCCAAAGTCTGCGTCAATTAGCGTCTCTCTTGTCTGGGTTCCCGGCCGTAGGTACATTGAAGGCAATGATATGGCCGATGAATTTGGAGGAATCCGAGGTTGTTGCACTGGGATGCCCTCTCGGAGTCTAAGACTGGCAAGGAAAGGGTGTCGGATATGCAAACTTGCAAATAGCCAAAGAACCGTGGCCTGACTATAATACGACGAAGACATTTGACCTGCTTATTAGGTCAAGGACAAAAGTATTCAGAATTGTGTCAACCATTATGGCTCACTGGCCCATAGGCACACATGAGTAGTCCACTTGCAAAGTGTGCTATGTAAAATTTTTTAGATTTTTAGTTTTTGGTGGGTAACGTACCACTATTTAAAGTAGTTTCATATCCTATTACAGCCCAGTGCAAAATCTTTGCATATTCTGAAAAAACTTATCAAATGTTAACTACTCTTGCAAAAGTCGCTATCATACTTATTTATAAACTTTCAAAAGTCTCCATCTTCTGATAAACTTAGAAAACTGCTTTAGGTCCTTTAGATTGGTAATGTTATTTGATGTTATGTTATGCTATGTTATAATGTTCTTAGGCTGTTATTTATCAACATTTTCAGGTAATAAAGAAAAAGATTCAATTTAGATTTTACTTGTTGTCGTAGTTGTTTTTTTTTTAATTTATGGCTTATTATCATAAAATCACATAACGCTGTGGACTACTCACATGCAGATGGAATAGGGTTCCCGTATAATAGAACTTGCCGCAACTCTCAACTAAAATATAGCGAAGAAGTGGTCCAGCATTTCCCTTGTGAATGCTCAGTCCTAGCAGCTTTTAGGCATAAAGGCAGCAGATAAATATGGCAGGGTCTACCACAGCTGATATCAGCAATTCATTAATGAATCAAAATGGCTAATTTCTACTAATGTGTATTAAAATGGCCCAAAACGCGCTAATTGTATCGTAGCTAGCACTGCGACCAACCAACATAGTGCCGTAGCTAGCCCTAAAAATCTACTTTGAAGCTAGCATGATCGATTGCAATTTTTAAATTAATTGTTGATGTCGAAACAAACTTATAGGTCAATATTTAGACTTACATACTACTTAGCATACGTTTTATCGGCATAACCACGCGTAGCCGATGGGTGTCTTTAGTCCCGTAATGGGCATTACCTATCAAGCGTACAGCTCAACTGCACGCTTTTCTCACGTACTTATATGCGCACCAGTGAGACCAGATTACTTTCGAGGCTAGATTTAGCATTTGTTTTTCGTCTCTAGCATCAGAATTTTAGTTCTAGTTTCATGGCTTTTTTCTAGCCTTTTTACTAAAAATATTCATTTTATAATTACGTTAGATATGAACTTTCTAAAAATTAGTTCATAAATTATTACTGACTGTCAACTTAAACCAGATGCGAAAACATTTTGTTTATTCTCTTTTTCAGATGTTTGACAGTTCGAAAAGGAAAATCTGGCAAGCCTGATTATCACACAGCTCTCAATTGACGAAAGATCTAAAATCTACAGTTTCTTACGGTATCCTAATACGGTGTTTACATGAGGCGATTTTACCGGCAAATTTTAGTTGAACGCAGCAATCGCCTGGTATGAAAGGCCTTTAAACTAATCGCTTCCAATGTAGTTGGGGGCAGCCAACTTTTGATCCAATTAATCGCCTTTAAAATTGCCTGTAAAATCACCTCATGTGAGCACCGTTTAAATTTTCATCAACCTAATACAGTATCTCATATACTTAGTAGGTTGGCCTTTGGTAGTAAAAACTATTTCTAAAACAAGCTTTCTAAATATGAACCAAATCGCAACACGTCTAAATACAGAGTTTTCAAATGTCTCAACTCCTGCACCACCTAGTGAATTAAATCATCTTATTTTTTGTCGGTCTGTGCGGAGATCACAAATCGCCTCCTTGCTTAGGGAAGTTCCTCCAAAGATTTACATCAAGTGTAGACAGGTCCTTCTTTAGTTGGTTCTTCCTGATCGACACTATTGTATGCAAAATGAATTTCGTACAATCCAAAATTAAAATGAAGCTAGTGAGCCCGCATGGCGCCAAAACGCCAACAATTAATTAAATTTTTGAAACAGGTAAAACTTTATACAAAACCCTATAAAAATATTCCTAATGATTGATCTAACCATTTCCGAGTGATGAGAGATCTCGCATGGTGTCGGTTTTCANATGGCGCCAAAACGCCAACAATTAATTAAATTTTTGAAACAGGTAAAACTTTATACAAAACCCTATAAAAATATTCCTAATG